AGAGGTAGATCTTAGAAGTTTATTTGAGGGGTTCTCAATTATTTTGGTGCCAGGACTATTCTACACTCTTAAAATTAATCATCCAATGTGATTCTTGATTATGTTGTCTGCAACCATCAATGTATTTGCATTAATAAGCTGGGAAAAATTTAAAACAAGACCGAGCAATGATGTCATACACATCTTTTCCCTTCTGGAAAACTCCACTGTGGACTTGTTAAGAGAGTGGAAAGCAAATAATATCTAAGCATTATTAAGAAAATGCTTTCCTCTTTGTACATTCTCTTAACAACACTTTTATAAGAAACTCTCAGTCCCACAAAATCTGAGACATACAAGTTTTAACAGACAAAAACAGTCAATGGGGTAGTTTGTCTTTCCATCCCAAAGTTAGTCTTCAAAATAAAAAGGATTACCAATATCACTAATCCATTTAATTTCTTGAATAACTGACAAAATTTCAACTTCGTCTCCATCTATGATTACTCTTAGGAAGACAAACTATCAGTAAAACTAAGTTCTTGTTTAAAGTGTCTATAAGATATAGCAGACACAATACATTGAAATTTGCAGAGTCTAAGGACTGAGCATGTCAGTGGCTGAGACTAGCATAAATGAGGCCCTAAATTCAATCCCCAGTACTTCCAAAAAAAAAAAAAAAAAAAAAACAAGATTTCAAAAAGTAAAGAATTTGTTATAATACAGAAATAGCTGTATTTGGTCAAACTCAGAAAAAGCTCGACCTTGTCATCCACCCTTGGATGGAGGCATTCCAATTACTTTTGAGTCATTTATATTTTCTTCTTTATACTTTGTATTTGTGAATGAATGAGCACATTTCACTACTCTAAATATGTGTATACCAGGTAACTTACGCAGTAGTAGAGTGAATTTCATTGATACTTAGATTAAGATAATACAGTAAAGGTTTTGAGATGAAAACCTGTCCACATTGGGAATCATAAACACTAGTTAATGTATGGGGTATCCACACTACCTTCTCAAAAGTCAATAAACATTAATATCAAAATCACAGTAAATAAAAACTCTTGATTCTTTTCTTTAATAATCAACAACTCTCTAACCGTGCACATGCATCCATATGAACCCACACACACACATGCATGCTCATACACACAGATAACAAAGAAAAAAAAAAGGAGGCCCTTACTCACAGTTAACAATTGCCTTATAATTTTATTATAAAATAGGGTGTTATTTAGAGAAATGCATTCGCATTTAAAAAAAAAAAGATACTTCAACAATAATCTAAATGTACACATGTCCTTTAAGGAAAACATAATGTGCTATGATACAGTCTGTCTTTAGAGATCTCCTCTATGTGAATCCATATTTTGAATATAACACAAATCTCAGTAATCAAAGGCAAAGTAGCCATTTGCAAAATTTAAGGAAGGATCAACTTCCCATAATTCCAACTACTTTCCATTTGCAACATGCTAAATTAAAGCAGTACAGCATTTCTCAAAATCAGTGTTTGATCCTAAATACAAAAACTGCAATCATTTTCCTGACTGATTTCTGGGCCAACATGTCCCACTTTTAACAGTAACTGTCTTGCCTTTTCAAAGAGTTTCAATCCAATCTTAAAACAGTCCAAATCAAATCTAAAATACAATTTAGTTTTGCATTATATTATTCTATTAACCTCAAATCTTGTGATTTTTACAATCTTTCTTAACCATTTGTGATTTCCTTTGCTCTAGTGCACAAAAGGAATCAAAGGTAAATCAAGTCTACATATATATGCCTCTCCTAATTACTAAAAACAATACCAGGCACCACAGCTGGGGCCAGTAAGTCCCATACTCTATTATTCCCTGAGAAAAGAAATATTTAAATCTGCAAAATCTAAGAAGGATAATATTCAGAAAACCATTTCTGACAGACCTTCCATTTATATCTTTGAGCAGGGCTCACATCTGAAAGATAATCATACCAGGCAGCCTAAACTGAGACATCAAAAGCGTCTATCCATCAAACAAATCACATGCTGGCTTATCACTCTTCTGGTCAGGGAAGCTTGATACAGTCTAACATGTCTACTCGAAATAAATAAATAGTTCACATATCCTTTCTTCTAATCACATCATTCAAGTCTGTAGGGACAGTCCAGTCATACACACTCTAGAGGAGTAGCTTATTAAATATTTAGTGAAAAAACAGTGCTGTGGAATAGCAAACACTGACACATTCACCTTTGGTAAAGAAAGCACAATACCCTGACAGACACAGTTCTAATGACATCAGGACCTGTGGAATGTATGACTCCTAAGAAACACATGCTACTAGGAAACAAAGAATAGACGTGATCAAACCTTCTAATGCTAGGAATGGGAATTATTTCAATTCCTTCTTCTAAAATGAGAGGGAAAGGATTCTTTAATGCTCAAAAAGATTTGCAAGTGTGAAGACTAACAGCCTCTTCAAATGAAACAAATATGTCAAGCTAGATTCTCACGAGTTAAATCATAACTCTGCAAGTTTTCTGTTAGGGTGATGGCCACCTGCAATACCTCATAAAATATAACAATCAAAATAAGCATCACAGATTCAATATTTTTCATTAGCAACCTAAGTTTTTTCAAGAGGTCAATACTGTTTCTATTTTTTAAAAAAGGTAATTAGTGTACCCAAAGACAAAGTGCCTATTCAAAGTGCCATAGTTAGAAAAAATAAATAAATGAAACAGCCATTTTCAACACCAAAGCCATAAGAACTAATCTAGAACTAAGGAATTTAATCTTTCAATTACTGAAATTGAAAAGCACTTATATTTACAAAAGTTAGCTATTTAACAAAAAACTATCTAAACACCTTTTTTACCTTTGGTTACTTTAAAAAAAAACTGATGTAACAAGGCTGAGTGATATTTCGACATAAATATCCCTCGACTACTACATAAATTATTTAGTATCCTCTTTTGGTGATACTATAACAAAACTACCGATCCTATTTGTAATCCTTGCATAGATAAATTGGGCGCCAGAACTTTAGATCACTTAGTGCCATTAGTAATTCAAAAATAGATTAAGAAATATAGCTAAGCTCTCTGACCCCATGGGAAATACAGTATAGGAGAATCTCCAGAAAGAAATTTGCTAAAGAACTGATTCTTTGCAGATTATACGATGGCATTCTTTAGTGTTGCTACCCCATAAGACACTAAAATTAGCAGACCTCCTATTCACTTCGGAGCAAAACACAGAAGGCAATTTTTTTCTTGCTGCCAGAGTGTATAAGTCTCATTTTCCCCCAGCAACTGGCTGGAAGCATGTGAAACAGAAGTGCAAGAAGCCTTGTACTTCTCAGTGTGCAATCCACCCAAGAAAGTAAACACAACACACAGCAGTGGTTTCCGCTGGGAAGGAGACTGTGGCAAGGATGCTCACACGGTTGTTTACAATGTTCCAACTACCGCAGGCAGGGATCACTTGGAGACCCAAGGAGGAGACATCCTGCAGCTGCCTCGGGAGACTCCAGCTCGCCCCCACTGTGCTCCATCTCTATGCACAAATAAAGGCAGTGCATGTTTCTATAGGCGCCAAGTGGCCAGAGCATTCCTTGGACCAGGGGCTGACTCAATTTCTTCGATCTGCGCGAGAGACGACTGACTCTAGCAGGTCTAGGCTGGGATGCGTCGAGCGCTGCACCAGAGACCGGAGTGTGTCGCACGCACGTCGCCCAGCTGCGTCTCTCCCGGGGAGAGGGAACGCGCTCTAGGAGAGGGAACGCGCCCGGGGTCTTCCTCTCAACCCTTCCCGGGCCCTCGGCCTCGGCCTCCTTAAACCAGATTTTCCAGTTAAGCGGATCCCAAGCGATTTCGAGGAGCAAGCTTAGCTCAGGAAGCATGGGCTCATCCCAGCACAGACCTACCTGCCATCCCCGGGGCGCGCACATGCTGCCCCATACCGACCCCACAGTCAACTAACCTGGGAACAGGAGGTCGCTCCCTCCTATGAACAGACAGACACAGACGCACACATACACAACCTGATGGGGGGGGGGGGGCGTTCAGCCCGCAAGCGCCGACCGGGTACCGGTGTGTGGGTTGCAGAGGCACTGGCTCTGGGCTGCAGCCCAAAGTCTTCCCATCTCCCAGGAGAAGGACCAGGTACCTGCTCTCCTACCTGTAACCCGCCGGCCGCAGCCTCTAGCGCTCTGGCCACCCAACCCGGCGATTCATTCCGCACCACCCGCTGCCAGTGACCACTACCGGCACAGCTCAGCCCGGGGCCACCTACGAAAGTGGCAGCTTCCTCCAGCCACAACCATCTAACAAAGCCTGGGCGCGCAAGTCTAAACCCAACTGCCGTGAAGGGGACACAACGGGCAAGGTGCGAAGGGCCAGCGCTGCTCCAAGACTGGGGCGCGACCTGGGCAAACATCTATGATGCTCCAGGCAGGCGTCGGGAGGCGCGCCAGGCTCACCAGCCCGCACCTCCATCATCCATCCAAGAGCCCCTCTCCTCACCCGTCCCCGGCGCTTCTCCAGCTTCTCCCGCTCGACTGGAAGAGCTCGGGTCCAGCGGGGAACAGGCGCCCCCTTGACTGCAGGCAGCCCCTCGTAGGGAATGACACCGGGAGGCGAGGGGAGGGGAAGCTCCCGGGATGGAACCCGTGCCTGTGCCCCAGTGTGTGCGCCTGCGAAGGCGCCAGATCTCCTCTTCCGTTCATCACCCCTCGGACGCCAAATCGCCCAAAGGCTAGAGAAACCTCGAACCCGCGTCAAACCGAACCTGTGCGCCCACCAGCCAGGAGGCTCCCTCCCTTCCCCGCATCGCGATCCGATGAGTGTGTGTGTGTGTGTGTGTGCGTGCGCGCGCGCGCGAGGGCGAGTGTGAGACGCGTGTGTGAGCGGAAGGGTGAGTGTGCGCGAACCCCGAAAACCAACCCCTCTAGCTGTTGCCTGGCGGATGCCACCGTCTGTGCCCGGGCCAGGGCAACCGCTATTAAGAAAAGTGCAAAGAACAAATTACCTTTTGCTACTGCCGGTCCCCTAGCTCGTCCCATCAGCTCCTCAGCAACCTGCAGCCGGGTGCCGTTTCCACAATCCAGCCATGGAGCACGGGTAACGAGGGTCCCCCGCCATCCGCGGCGGAGACCGAGGATGAAGTGCAGAGCAGGAGGCAGGAGGGTGGAGACCCCAGTCCAGCAAAGAACAACAAAAAGTCTCTTTCCCTTTCTTGTGCCACACAGCCGTGTAGAAAGGGGAAGGGGCGAGGGAAAAAGCCCCCAAGGCTGGTCTCCCTTTATGTTTCCTCGCTTCCCACACCCCAGCGGGGCAGCGGCGGTGCACCCAGAAAGGAGGGCTCCAACGTCTCCCGCAGTCCACACACAGTTGCACAACTTCGGAGTCGGGCTGGGGCTCCGGCGGCGGCTCTCAACCTGCGGCGGTCACAGCCGGGCTGCTGCGCCCTCGCCGCCACCGCCGCCGCCCGAAGGAAGACGCAGCCAAGCCCGAAAATCTTCCACCATCCCCCGCCGATCTTTATATCCAGTTCCCCACCCCACCCCCTTCCCTTTCTTCTTCTTCTTCTTCCTCGTCCTCCTCTTTCCGCCGCGGAGCGGGAGGGATGGAAGGCAGGGGGAGCCGCGAGGGCCCGGTGGCGCCTCCGCCGCGCCTCCTCCCCGTGCTCCTCCCGCTCCTCCCCCGGCTCCGCTTCCCCGCTCCGGGCTCTGCTCTCTCTCCACCCGCAACCTGCGCCGGCAGCCGGGAGCTGGGCCGAGCGCCGCGCCAACTCCGCCTGGGGGCGCGGCGGGGCGCGGGGCCGCCGAGGGCTGCGAGCCGGAGGCGGCGAGCCCCGAGCCCGGGAGCCGGCGGCTTAGCTGGCCGGCCGGGCCGGGCGGCCACGGGCACTCGGGGGCTCCATCGCGCGGCCCGGGCTCCGCGTCGCTGGCTCTCCGGCGCCTCCTCTCCTCGGACTCCTCCGGAGCTGGAGGGGCCGCGCGGTGCAGACACGCACACACGCGCGCACACACGCGCAGCTGCCGCACGCACTGCCGGCCGTGCACCCCGCGCCCCGCCGCGGAGCCGAGAGAAAGGGCGGGAGGGGGCGCGTCACAGGCGGCGGCGGCGGGGGCGCGGGCGGGTGGCGGCGCCCGGCAGGGGCGGCCGCGGGCTCTGCATCCCCTCTCCGGGAGCCGGAGCGCGAGGTCCGGGCGCAGCGAGGGCGTCGGGCCGAGCAGCCAGGGCCCGAGCCGAGGCCGGAATGAGCCGCGGGCGGGCGAGCGCCGGGCGCGGAGCAGCCGGAGAGGGGCTCAGCCGGGGAGGGGTGGCCGGCAAAACCCGGATCTGGAGTGCGTGCGGGCTCCACCTAGCAGCTCGCCAGACGCTTGGAGGTGCAAACTGGAGGGCCGCTACCGAGGCTGCTCCAGCAGGGTTTATCAGACAAAGAGTAGCGGGCTCGCGCTGGGTTCCCAGGCTGGTGCGCTCGCCCTTTCTCTCTCCTTTCGCTGCCCTCTAGCCTCTTCTCTTTTTCTCGCAATCTCTCTGTCTCTCTCTCTGTCTGTCTCTCTCCCTCTCCCTCCCTCCCCTCTTCCTCCCTCCCTATTTCTGAGTCTGTCTCTCCTGCCTCCTCCCTCTCTCCCTCTCTCTCCCCATCCTCTCTCCTCCTCGCCCCTTCTTTTCTCTTCCCCTTCTCTCTACTCTTCTCTTTCCCCCATTGCTCTTTAGGTGAGTCACGGAAGTCTCCTAGTATCTGTTATTTTTGTTGCTGTTGTCGTTTTGGATTGTATTTTCAGGTGAGATTATTCCATATTTTCCTTTTTACAGTCACCTGGTCCCAAAGCATTCCCTGCCTTTAATCCGTTTAATGTTTTGTCAGTGTAACCTCAACCCAAAAAGTTCATTTCGGAGTTTAAAGTTACCTTTGATAATTGGACAAGGGTACCCAATGATTTTTATTTCATGTCATCAATTAAACATTATCATAATGGATATGGAAAATTGCCTAGTCCAACCCCCTCCTTACTGATAGATGGAGAGTTTGCTCAAGTTAACTGAGTATCCTTGATCAATTACTGAGCCTATTTGGGACTTTGTAAATGAAAGAATTAATTTTATGATTTTTAAGATCTTTTCTCTCTTTGTTTCTTTGTTTCTTTCTTTCTTTCTTTTTTTTTTTTTTTTTTTTTTGCTACAAAATTCCATGATTTTTAGATGGCTATTATTTTCTGTATGAATAAATCCTCAGGTTGCTGAGATTTATTGCATGCTTCCAACAAGCTCGTTATGCCCATACTCCAGTTCCCCAAATTGCATTTGGTTGTGTTCAGTCAGAATGATCCATGACCCTCCAGGAACTCTTCAGGAGAGAACACCCTCCCCCACATACCAGAAAACATAAAATCTTGTGGAATTAACCGGTTATAACAGCATGAATTTTTTATTCTTTAAAACCCTGTTCTCCCAGACCCTTTTCATCAACCTCAAAGTAAAAATAAAACAAATCACTCTTTCCGTTATATTACACCCCTGTTGTGCAGCCTGGCTCCAAAATGTCCTCCAAAGACCTGTGTGTCAAAGGCTTGGTCCTCAGCCCCTAGTGGCCTTGAGAAATGGTAGAATATTTAAAAATTGGGACCTATGGAAGGAATTTAGGTCTGTGATGGTGCAGAACATGTTGAAGAACATGTTGGGAATGAGTCACTTTCTTGCCTTTGCTTCCTGACCACTGAGCTCTGCACTATGATGTTCCACCTGCCACAGGCCCAAGCATAAGGCAGCCAGCCAACCATGGGCTGAAATTGTGAGCCACAATAAACCTATCCTCCAAGTTGATTTTATCAAGTGTATTTATCATAGTGATGGAAATCTAAAGAACTCCTATAATAATTGCACTTGACCAGTAGCCCTAGTAGCACATTCTGATTTTATTTTTTTTTAAATAATTAGTCACTTTCCATGTGCCTTCTTGGATTTTAAGATGTTTCTTAAATGTAAATTGCAAGTTTTCATTCTTTTTTGAGGAAAGATTACTAGTAAGTCTTTTTATTTTTAAATGAAAGTGGAGAAGGAGACTTACTGCTATTTCTGAATTCTGACCAAATAGATATTCAAAGGTTCAAGTGTAGTTGCTTGATTTATCTAACAACGGACATCCCTGAACTCCCGTGGGTACTTGAAAATATAAACTGACATTCTAAATCACCTGTAATTTAAACCAGTAGTTTTAGAAAGAAGATACTACCAAGTTGTGACAAGAGGTTATTATTGGTGAATAAGGCATGTGGAGACTCAGTCTATCTCTCAAGGGCTTAATGGGCTTATTTACAAAAATAATAAAATAATATTTTAAAAGTACAGTGCAAAAAGTTCTATGAAGATAGTGAGTATTATTAGTGGTAGTGGCAGCACAAATACAAATCATTAGTAGTAGCTATAGATCACTTTTTAGATTCACCTTATAACTGAGAGGGACAGAATAATGCAGAAGAATGGATTTTCAAAACTGGAGTAATATATTTATCTAAATATGAAACAGTAACTGAAAACAAAGTATAGTCAGTAAAAACATAGTTGAAAGTGTTCACCAAAGTCAACTGAGTTTAAAAAACAAGCAAAATTTCAAAGACCACAATGAAGGAAAAAATGTTTTATCTTTTACCTTTTTAATTTTAAAAGGAAAAATAGTAAAAGTAGCTAATAGTTCAAGGCAGTAAAAGGATAAATATCTTTATCCTTTTACTGCCTTGAACTGATTATTTAACAATTCAGTTAGATGTCCAAGTAGCCATTTTTAAAACTCAAACTTACTGCTTCCAACATTTCCTACATCTGATGGGTGTAGTCTTCTATATTTGATTTAGATTATAAAGTATTCCATTCTATTGCCAGGAAATCCATGGCTCTCACCAATGTTTTTCTAAGGTGAACCGTCCACAAAATAAATCCTGTGCCTATTTTTACACAATTATATTTAACACCTTCTCAGGGACAAGACAGCATCAATATGACATTTAAGCACTGATGTTATTATACAGAGTACTGTGCACACTAGAGTGCTTTTTGAAAAATATATCACTGTTGACTTCAGTGCCATTAAAACTGAAAAGAAATATTTGCCAGCCATTTGCCAAGTGGAAAAATAGCTCCCAAATGGAAAAAAAAATCTGAACAATTGAGTAGAAACTATTTTAAAATTAAACTATTTTAATAATTATTAAAATCTGCTGACAAAAATATCCTTTTCAAATCAACAGGAAGTACAGTAAGAGTCACAACAGAATGAAAGTTTGAAAAAGAGCATAATAAAGTGAACACCAAATAGATACAAGTTACCAAAAACTATGAGGTAGTATGTTGTGCCTATAGAAATCCAATACACAAGCCTATATACAATTAAGAGATTCACCATGTTTCATGTTTTGCCCTAAAATTAGTTGCAGTAGCAGCAGTGACCCAGTGCTAAACTCGGGCAGAAGTATTGGAGCCAGCCATATCCATAGCCTAACAATGTTCACCTACAGAATTGTTCTGGAAGGAACGTACACACTCTGTTTCCACTGCCTCATAGATGGTATGTACTATACCAAAGTAAGCAGAAGTGTGAACAGGATTTTGTACAATGATACACCTCTCAGCTCTAATTGTTATAGTAAATGTAGAGGGCTCATATAAGTGTCAAGTATATATACTTAGAAAAACATTATTTGAATTTGATTTTCTCATACTCAGTAAAGGCACTCAACTGATTGGAGTCAATAGTTATTTAGTTAGCAGCTGTCATGGTATATGTCAGTGGCCCCCAAGCCTCATGCAATTACGAACTCTACCAAACCTAGCATTTGTGAGTGTTTCGTGTTCAGTGCTGCGATTGGTGGTGTGAGTGCCACACCCACCTGGGGGTGGAGCCAGGTTATGATGTAGTGGCTGGAAGAAGGTGTCTCCCTCTCTCTTGTGGTTTTGTGCCTTGCTGCTCCTCGTGGCCATGAATGGTAGCCTTGCCATGCTACCCTACCTTGGAGCCAGCTGAGTAAATCTCAGAGGTAATTGATTTATGGCAAGTATGGTCCACCAAATTACCCCAAGCCAAAATAGATACTCCAATCCAATGTCTTACAGCTCAAAAACCATAGCATTTTCCTTCAGTTTCAGTTCTAGGAGTCCTGCCTGCCTTGCAGTAGCAAAGAAAAAAAAGAAAGAAGAGGAAGACTGGAATGTCCTTGCTCTCAAAATTATGTTTGCAGATTTGTTAGCCTTGCTGTTCCCCATGGCCATAAATGGCGGCCCTGCCATGCCACCCTGCCTTGGAGCTAGCTGAGTATGGACTGAACCCTGCAAGAACTGTAAGAAAGAAACCTTTACGCTTTTGCTGCATCCTGAGATGGGAAATACAGACACTTTTCCATGCAGCTCTGCATCCCACTGAAAGTCAGAGTTCTTTTCATGATTTAGCTCTTCCTCAGCCTATGGCTTGCCATTATGACTACCCTCAGCTGGGTTTTTCATGTATTCACTGTCACCTACATTCACCAAACAAATAGCAAATGCAGACACAAGTCAATGCCACTTTCACATAAAATGATTGTCCACTTTAGCCAAGTGTAAGCTCTCACAAAATTTCAAATGACTGTGCTTTTGCCACCAGGAACAGTCCTCTCAATAGCCAATCAATTGTCAGTAGACAGTTACAATCTTGAATGCTATTGGGCCTAAATATGCTGACAAATCAAGGTAATCAGAGTTAAGTCACATCTTCAAAGCAGAAAGAAAAGCATAGCACTCAGACTTCTAGTATGTATGGCTTGACTAGAATCTAAGGGCTTCAAGGTTTACAGGAATAATGACTCAAATATGGATTACACAGGCTGTCAGAACATAGTTGTTCTATGAAACCACAAAGTCCTAACAGGTACACCCTGACTTTCCCTGTTCCTTAGGCCTATTTTTAAAAGATTATAAAATCTTACCCAGGTGATATTGCCCTTCCTTTTTAATATCTCTATTCACTTCTTTAAAAAATTCATCTTTCTTTTCTAGTCCAAAACTGAACCTGGGTATTCTCCATTATAAGTGACCTGGAACCTTATCTATAGAGCTAAACCCAACAGAAAAATCTACTTAAAGCTCTGTTTTGTAATTTCTCAAATATTTACATACAGGTATATTGTTCTGGAGAGTTGTGAATGTAGCGAGCTTCTCCCTGACCCTTTATTTTTCCCAGCTACCTTGCTTTACACCCTATTAAATAACCTTTCACAACTCCAGATTGGGTTCAACACAGAATGCTTACAGTCATTGCTATAACTGCTAATGATAGAATAGTGCTTTTGTAGGACTATTCAGCACTCACACAAGTATGTTGCATTAAAAGTATCACATCACAATGTCTAGTCTATAGAAGTATGAAAATGTTGAATTCCACACCTTTTTTAAGTTCCTCTCATAAAGGCAAATGTAATTGTACTTTACTAATAAATATATTAGAATCAACCAGTGATAATAATAAGGCCAGGAAATGGATGAAATTGAAATATTCTGGCCTCTGATTCTTTTTCTGGTCTCTGATTTTTCTGTTTCCCTTTATTGAGACTACAGTAGATACCAATACTAGGTGCATGATCCATAATTACTCCCCTTGCCTGAAAATGGTTTCTATGCCTGATTACAGAAAGATGCTCATACAAAGTAGCTTTGGACATAGTATTTGGCCCTATGTTTTAACCAAAGATGATTGGATTAAACATGAACAACCAGCTCAAACTTGGGCAATCAGAATACATCCCTGAAGTTTTTGAGGCTATACTAAAAGACGGATCTCAGTACCTCACTGAGAGTATAGCAAAGAGTATTTGAAATGACCAAATGTTTTTGTCCCCTTAAAATTCATATGTTGCAACTTTATCCTCCAAAGTGATGCTACAAGACGGTGAAGGCTTTGAGAGGTAATTTGGTTATGAAAATAGAAGCCTGATGAGTGAGACTAGTGCCATTAATGCAAGGCACTGTAGAGAACTCTTGTTCGCTTTCCATTGTGAGGATAAAAGTCTGCAGCATGGCAAAGACATCTTGGTAGAACACAACCGTACTGGCATTCTGATCCTGGGTTTCCAGCCTCCTCGATCGTGAGAAACATGTTTCTATAATTTGTGAGCCACACGGGATATGATACTGTCTAGTAGCAGCACCACTCAGGGCCACGTTGCCTGCAACATGGGGAGGGGCGACTGCATGAGACTAAACGCAATACTCTTTGGAAGATACAATTGGATAACAAATACTACTAGTTTTCATTAGAAATTTCTGCTTTGATATTTAAACTCTCAAATCAGATATGCACAAGAGGACATTTATGTATAGATGTGTAAATGCATTGCTAATGTGCAATTTGTGACACAGTGATAGCTTGAAAATTAGATGCCCCTTCAGATTCTGTCCTCAAACTCTTTTACCACGAGCTCATGGGAGGCATGTAGCATCCCTTGTAGAGGGAACTTCAGCCACATCATTTCCACAGTGGTATTACCAAGATAATGTTCTAATTCCCCACATTCTCTTTCGATCATATGCCTCGTCCTTTCTCTTTTAAATAACAAAATTAAAACTGGTCAAAATATAATGAGTATTCTGTAGTTTGAAATACAGTACTCAACCCCATGGTAGATACTCAATAAATGTTTGGTGAACAAAAGAATTCAATATAAATATTATATAATGTATAACATTAAATTATTAACATACATATTAAGTTACTCTGATAAATATTAATATATCTACCATTCCATCATTGCCTTAAATATATCATGCTATAAGTTTCTACATCTAAATGATAACAATTAAATCAAAATTGGTCTTTTTAATAGGGAAAAATGTCATTTTTCAAAGCAAGTTGAGCTCTTTTGAAGTCACTTTATGTTGTGGCATACACTAGAATAGCTTTTAAAGTGCACTTGATTTGTTGTTTTTAATGTTTTGGAATCAATTGAAGAAAGTCACCAGACTAAAAGAACTGGACTAGAATTAGGAGACAATTACAAAACCAAAGGACAATATTCTGTTCAAAATAGATAAAGCATTACAGCTTTCCATGTGGTTTAATTTTAGCACATAACTCTTTGAAAGCAAAGACCATCACTTTATGTGGGTGAAGCTTTTTCTCATATATTGCTGTACTTTATCCTCTCAAGAAACTAACAGCATGGCTATATTTCCTACTTTCTTAAGATTGAAGCAGAAAGTATCACTTTCTTCAGTCTGAACACTCAGTAATCTACACATTTAAGTGATCATTACCTTTCTAATCCTGTCTGCATTGGTGGAGATTTCAAAAGTAATTCTTTATAATATAGACTCCCCGTTTGGCTTTATTTCATTGGCTCAGGAAATGAAAGAGGGAGCTCCTCAATTATCAGGCTGATTTCGCCTTCTCAGAACTGGACTTGAGATTGACAGAGACATTGTTTCTCTGGTTAGACCATGAAGCTACCAATCTGGAGTGTTGCCTTCTTTTCCTTGCCATATTGATTCTTGAATCAGAGGCGATATCTTCTTGATTAGAGACGTGAATTATTATATTATTATTTGCTTCAAGTCAGTCAACAGAAATGAAAATAGTACGAATCTGCAGAAAAAAGCATGGGACACATGTACAGAAAAAAGCCTAAATGAAATTCAGAGAGACATTTTTGGTTGTTTTTTCTAGATACTCTCTTTCTAGAAATTCAAGTGCTATATATGTGCTGATACTTAGTTCCTTGAAAACAGCCCTTGTAGTCTGCACATTTTTCCTTTGATGAAACTAGTACAGCTTAGCACTAGTTGTCAAGGAGCTCTAGCTAGTCATTTCTGTCTCTCCACTTCTGGTAATAGTGTATTTCTTTCTTGGTTGTCCTTTCTCTCTTTATGTATTTGTAAAATCATAGTACCTGCCCACAAAGTCAGCAAATGACTCAGGGCATGTCAAACACTGTAAACCAGCAGCATTCCAGGTGGTGAGAAGGAATCACTCATGTTTTAAAACAGAATTATGTAAATGTGTTTATCACTTCATAATTTAACAATTGAATAAGTTAATCTTTTTATCTCACTAGATAACCAGAAAAGATATATATTACTCAATGCTAAATTTCAGTAGGTTATTTTTAACTATGCACATGGGAAATCATGAAATATATTCCAAATTTCTATGCAACACACTAAAGAATATGCATTGTTTCTGATTTTCAAGTGTTTAAGATAAGGCCAAATCAGAATTTTAAACTGAAGGGAAATGTTGATATGTGAGTATTTTTGTTCTCAAATCTTCAGAGATGGAGGCAAGTGGAGAACACATGGCTTTCACAGCATACCCATAAGGAACCGATGAAAAATTCATGTGCTTTGCTTCTTTGTAGGGACCTGGATGATCTTTATGACTTCTGCTCAAATTTCTTTCTAAGAACTCAGTCTGTACTTCATCTACCTGTAAGGGATGGTCTACCCTTACAAGGGTAGTCCATCTTTGAGTCCAGGAAGAAATTAATGTGAGTTTGATAAACATATATGCATGTTTTTCCCCTACTTTCTCAGTAATTCAGAAATAACAAAGGACAGAAGAATGTGCAAAAATATGAAGCCTAACCACTGCCACATTACTAATGTAGTATTTAACTCAAGTGATATAAATATAAATCTCAAGACATGAATTTAAAAATCATATTTTCAGTTGTTTCTACTACTAACTGTATTTTATTGGTGAAGTCACTAGATATTTCTGGGCTTTGTATTTTTTTAACCTCTATATTTGGCATTTTAAATGTCTGACTTATATCGCAAGGTTGTTGTCACCACTAAGGTATACTGACAGTGTACAGTATTATACAAACGAAAGTTCTTTGTAGAACATGTAAATATACACACACGGCTACCATAGCTACACCACACATGCAGAGAGAACTCCATGTACTTGATTTACATGTTGTCTTTTGCCTTTTCATTCTCTCCTGTAAATGCACAGTATCCTCTTTCAAGAATGTCATTCACATCTGAAACATTCCCCCTTCTCCGGGCTAAAGTATTTCTTTTTGCAGCTGAGAAATGCAGGCTGCTGGCAGATGCATTCCTCAAGTTGTTTTCTTACATCTGCTGAAGGGAGTGATCTTGATCTTATATCCCTTCCCCGTGGACCTCTTCACAGATTCCCTGGAGCAGGCTACTTCTTCAAGGCACCTCTGAAGGCCACCCCCACCCAGCCCCACCCAGGGGATCTGTAACTGCTTTGCAGTTTCACATCCTCTGCCCAAGATTGAGTCCACCCTTCCCTGCACTCCCCAACACCTCCACCCCATCATTCCTGAGACTATTTCCAGATAAACTCCTGTTTGCAGCTCTCTGAGAAACTGTTTTCAATACGAGGCTTGAGGAGGGATTACAAACCATTCCCTGCCTTTGCCCTTGCTATAGTATATTCTCAATACATAGTCAAAGAGAGCCTGTTAAAACAAAATCATTGGTACTAGTTTGCTGCAGCTGCTGTAACCAAGTACAATAAACAAGACTGCATACAACAATTGAAATTTGTTTCTCAGGCAATCAAAGCACCAGCCAAGCTATGTTCCTTCCAGGACTCTGGATAGAATCCTTTCCTTGCCTGTTCTGAGTTTCTGGTGGCAGCTGTCAGCCCTTGGTATCCCCTGGCTTGCAGCTGTGCCATTCTGGTCTCTGATTGTCACTACTTTGTATTTTGTCTGTGTATCTCTGACTTTGCATAGTATTTTCTTGGTCATACTGAACTGGACACACCCTACTGATCTCATTCTAACTGAATCACACCTGCAAATAAGTCTTTCCAAATACATTTCCAAATTGTGTCAGTAGGTATCCACATCAGCATAGCTTTTAGGGGTTCACAGTTCAACTTGTAATAATGATCTTGTCCCAAATCCATCAGCAACTCCCTCTATCACTCAGAATAAAATGGAAGGGACTTACAACACAGTCTAACCCCTGACACTCCTAAAACCTCACCTTTTGCTTCTATCTAGGACCATGTGGTGTTCTGAGGACCCTACGTCCATGCAGGCAGACTCCTACCACAAGGCTCTGCTTCTGACTATCTTTGCATACCTCGTATGTTCAGCACCCAGAGGTCTGCATAGCTCTTTACCTAGTCTCTTTTCATCTTAACAAATAGTTTCTCAGTGATACTTTCTCTAACACTATTTAAAATTGCAAATGACCTTACTCTACTCTCTTTCATACATCATGTTTTTCCTCCACAGAATTTATTTTTTAATATACTATGTCAGTTATTCATTTGTTGTGTTCTTCAAAGGTCTATACAATAACTTCCATGGACCACTTTTGCCAAAAAGTTTTCATAAAATCACATTTTATAATTACATTGTTGGAATAAAATATACCCATAATATCATAATAATTCTTTTTTCTTCCAAATTAAAATAAAATAAAATTAAACCTTTTGGGGGCTCTGTACATATTGTGCTGAATGGGAATGTAGGCCAAATATTATAACTGCTTCTTCTCAGCAGAGATAAGTTCTTTGATGAGGAGTTTGGTCCATTTTACTCACTGATATTTTCTTAACGAGTAGAACAAGACCTGGGGTACAATAATGTTCAATAAATACTTGTCAAATATATGGATGGCTAAAAATACCATTTTGATTTTCCATCAGAATTAGTTTGGCATTGCCTGAATGAAGTACGTTTGTGTAGCCTAGCCTAGAACAGGCTGCTATTTACTCGTGAACATTTGACTCATCAAAAATGATGCTTTCGCAATATGCCAAACAACCTCCGAATTAACACTAGACCCCTGCCTTGCACAACTCTCAAGAACTGTGGGAAGCTTATGTCATCTGAACTGGTGAGCATTTTTTCTATACTCCTCCATGGTAGACTGAAAAGTTCAGTGATCTGCCAGGAATTTGTCACAGAGAATTTAAATAGATTTTTACACTTTTCAACAACTTCACTACACAATTAGAAGGAAAAATTTGCTGTTACCATGGGCTAACTTGTAATACTGAAATATCTTCTGCTAAGCAAAATAAACCAGGGTAAATCTCAAAATAATTTTATAGAAATAAACTAGAGTGGTTGCCATATTACATAGATTTGTTTTAATGAAAAATTTCAGAAAAGAACTCTATGAAAACTTGTGGGTCTCAGGTGGTGGAGCAGGGATAGGAGAATGGCTAAATTTGATTTGTATTTATTAGAAAAACAGAGATCAGACTTTCAATTTGATTTGGGAAAACTGAAGTTAAACTTGCAAGGGTATAAATATTACTTATTTGTACTGAAAATTCTGACTTATGAATTTTCCAGGCTAAAATGTGACCACTGAATCTTTTTTGAGAGATGTTATTTCATGAACAGCAAAAGTCACTACAAGACTGCATACATTTGATAATACTCAGAGTATTTAAATTCACACATGATTGGGAAACGTCACTGTTATTTCCTTACTCTGGTGAAACTTGTTTATTCTGTGTTCATCATTATTTCCTTTTCCATTTAATTACGCATATCTGTCCTCCATATGACTGATGAAGAACAGTGAACAATTTAATTTAGTACATTTATTACCCAGTATGATGCTATTTATGTCAGATAGATATACTATACGCTGGTGAATGTGAAGTTGTAAACACAGAGTTATGTTCCCAAAGATGTTTTTATTGTGTAAATATTTAAAAAATTATCTACTTTGCAGGGTCCTTTTTTTTTTTTTGCTACTTTGTATATAAATATTTTATTTACCTGTTTAAGATATGACATCCCAATCCTATCAGAACAGAACAGAGGATAGATTCATTATTTATGAAATAATTGCCTAGAAGTTAGCTGGAGACATTATATACACAAACCTGTCTTATAGTCCATATGAATCAGGAATAAAAGAATTATTTATAGTCCTGTGCTGTGTGAAAATAGATATGAAGATTGATATAAGGTATGTTACTAGGTAATTTTGTTATTATGATAGTATCAAAGACAGCTAAAATGTCATTAAACAATATAATAACTTTTTTTAGAGAGGGTTTTACTCTATAGTGTGGCCTTGATCTTGAAATTACTATGTACCCCATATTGGTCTTGAACTCATGATTTTCCTGCTTCAGCCCCTGAGTGCTGGGAGTAGAAGCATACCCAGTTTGAATGACATACTTTTATGAGACTATCATGATATACTTGGTACGTGGTTGACTAAAATATCATTACGTGACTTATGACTGTATCTCTTACTATATACAAGAAAAGGCCAAATGACAGATTAACCTGCTCAAGGTCAAACAACCAATAGGCTGCAGTGTTAAAGTATAACCTAGACTTATCATGTTCCAAAATCTACTTTCTTTTTCCTACAACTTCACATAAGGAAAAGGCTAACTTTACATAGCAGTATATGGAGCCAACCTTTTAAATTTCATAATAGAGGATAACATGATGGGTTTGCATAAAGTACCTTAAAATTTTAATAGAATAGCCTTTATAGGAATTCTGCATCATAATTATTTCTGCAAGAAATATCTATATTACATGATAAATACATGTGTAGGGAAAATGTAGACAATGACTCAGATATTTATCCATGAAATATATCATTTTACATCTCTATTTTGTCATGTCCAATTAAATTGTGAAAAGAATTCTAGCACTTTCATGCCTCCTTACCTTTTGTGATTATTTATTTCTGACTGTCTCATTTAGTTTTGTTAAGTCTTGTCTTTACATGCAGTGCTGACTTTTCTATCTTATAGCTATGAATGCATTGTTTATCCAAAGTTCCTTCCTATGTTTTATTTTCTCTTCCTTGAAGATTTTACGGCAATATTATGTGTGATACAAAAAGTCAGCAGTGGATGCAGCCACTGTGGAAATCACTGTGGAGATTCCTCAAAAAACTAGAATTGGAAGCTCGATTCAATCTAGCTATTCCCCTCCTGGGTATTTTCCCAGAAAAATTGAAAAGGTCATGTCACAGAGATATATGTGCACCCATGTTCATAGCAGCACAATTTGTGATAGCCAAATCTTGGAAACAACCAAAATGCCCATTAACTGCAGAGCGGATGAAAAAATGTGGTATTTTTATACAATGGAATACTACTCAGCCATAAAAAGGATGATCGTGAGGCCTTTATAGGTAAATAGAGGTAACTTGAACATATTGCCATTAGTGAAATAAGACTCACATGAGTAAATATCATATTGTCTCTCTAGTGCACAAAATAATAAAAACTGACAGAATAATGGGCTCCAAAAATTATAATAGATACTGTGAAAGTGAAAGGGAAGGAAAGAGCTTTAAAGAGTATAACCATATGTACAGTGTGCAAGACAGATGACCACATTACTGAATCTCCATTGGAACACTGAACAGGAGGATTTGCACTGTGAATGTCTGAGTGTCTAGCCACTACTTATGCTTTGATTTTGTGACTTTGGCAACTATTTTTAACACGACAATGAGAAACGTAACAACTAGTGATTCTACAATATTTTTTTAAATTTGGTATTCTGCCCTGCTTTTCGGCTTTTTTACTTTTTTAAAATTTTCTTCTCTTTATTTGAAAAAAAAAAAAAGAACAATATTAATTATAACAGCCATTATTAAATTTCTTTCATTCTGTTTTGAAGACCTGGGCTGTTATTATTTTGAATCTTGTTGTTATTGTTTTGAATATTGTTGTTCTTGTTTATACCTTCTGCTTTTTGTTTTTCTTTTCTGACTTTTCTCTTTTTAAATACATTTTTTTTAAAGTCACCAGTGGAGAACCATATAATGTTACTTCACAGGTTTCAGAGCTGGGGAAAAATATCTTTCATGATGCTTGGTTTTCCACTTTGTTAGTTATTGAGAGTACCACACTCTATTGTTATGCTTCTCTTTTTCCTTTGAATGCCTAAAAGAAAAGCCTGTGCTTTTGTATAGCAGTATAGTTTCCTTAGCTTTCCTTGTCTGCAATGGATATTGTTCCCATCATTAATTGCATTGTTGTTCTTGGTCACTTTTTAAATGATGTCACAGTTTGTCATACGTGACCTTAATTTGTATAATACCTTTTTTCTTATTGAAGGCAAGAAAGAAAAAGAAATAGAAATAAGGGAATTGAAAATTTTATCAGTTTTGCTCCAAGTTTGACTTACCCTATTTTCTTCTGTTTAAATTAATTATTTTTGTCATGATCCATTGACCATGTTATTGCTCTGTTGACAACTTGGAGTAGCTGAGATAACTACTTTGCTTTTTTGTGCTCAATACATCTTGGTATCTCAGACCCTGTAAAACTAGAGAAGATCATTTGATAAACTTGCTCATTAGTCTTCCGCCTTCCCACACTAGAGGCTTCCTTCTGAATGCCAGAGTTTCATAAAGGAATCTTACTAACATGCACAATGTGCCCAACTCTGAAAGTGAGTCTCTTCTTGTCTGTCCTCTGTATGCATTTGAATGTATGCACATGCTCCTCTATGCATATGCATAGACATATGCTAAGAAAAATCCATCAGAACTTGTTGATATTTATATTAATGATAATTACTTGAGATATTCCTGTTACCTGGCCTATAATTTATTTTATTTTATTTGGTTGCTTTTTTCCCCAGTATTTTCCAAAGTGCCTTTACACTTGTGTTAACACTCACGTCCACTGTGGTCAGTTTTATCCCACTGTCGGTGCACTTTTGTTTTTGAATAATATGTTTTGCCTCAAATTCTTATATTTGCATAAAAAATCAGAAAGAAAAATCCCTTCATAGTGCTCCAGTTTTATTTGAAATTGAGGGCTATGTTGGGGAAATGCGAGATCAGCCTGTGCATACATACATACATATGTTTAATAGGTGAATATTTATATTCTCCATCGCCCTGTAGAAAGGATATTTGTTGCCATAAGTTAGTTATGCAACTAATATACTGTCACTTTGTAAATCAATCCATGATGGACTTAATGGTTTGTTATTCTGCCCAAGACTATACAACTTCAAGTAAGAAAGAGAGTTGCCACATGAAGTCTATTATTACAAAGTCACAAAAGATTTTGTTAAACATGTACACACACATACACACACAACATAGGTAGACAAAGGCATGGAGTATGATAAGACTTTAAAAGTTTTATATCTGGAGATGTTTCCTAATGGAATATTTGTAAGTCAAACCTGGGCATGTGAATGAGTTACAGAAAATTTCAGTTTTCACTCTGATCTTAACCTTGCCAATTGTTGTTGGCAGTAGTGGTGATGAATTATTTTGGAAATAATCTTGAATTCAAATCACTGAATATTAGATATATGAACCTGAATAAGTTACCTAACTTATCTGTAGCTCGTTTCCTTGTTAATCATATGAACTTATTAAATAAACATATAAATATATATCTGTACAGATTATTTTAGAAATTAAGAATACAGTAGCCAACAAGACAAATGAGTTTTGGTTTCATGATCATTAAATATAAAGGGATATTTAGTGTGTATCTATGACCATTAGTTGTGATTGTCAAACTGGCTGGATTAAAAAATATTTAGCAGATGAGAAGAGCACACTTTTGGGTATGTCTAGTGGGTATTTCCAGAGATATTTAGCAACCAAGCCAGAAAAATGTGGGTTAAGATCCACTTTGATTGTGAGCAATGACATGCAGTGGGCTTGAAATTCAGAGGATATGAAAATAAAAAACAGTGTCTCTGCCTACATTTGAAAAGCTCCTTTCTGCTTAAATAGGTGCGTCTTTTGCTACTGTCATCACCTAGGGACACCAGACTCCAACTTCTTCAATCTCTCAATGCTGTCTCATACTAGTATCTCTTCAGGGAGTTTGTAGGCCTTGAGCCCTGGAGGGGTACTGCATATCTGATCCTTCTTCTGAAGCTTCCAGCCTTTTGGACTGAACTGCTACCAGATCCTCTGGCTATGCAGCACCCAGGTATTCGTTATGAATTATCCTGAAGCCAATGCCATAAATTTATCCAATAAATTGCATTGCTTAACTTAGAAAAATTGATCAATTCGCCTCGTATAAAGAACCCCAGCCAATACAGTGATGAGTGGGGCTGTTGACATGACTGTATTTGACCATGTCATTCTGAAGCTTTGGAACTGATTTGTGGGAGGGATTGGAAAAGTTTAAAGATGCAGAGTAGAGAAGTTCTAGAATGCTGTAAGCAGTGTTTGGTGAGCGATATTCATCATAACTCACCAGGCCACATGCTGATAGAAAGGCAGACAGTAAAGGACAGGCTCGTGAGGTTTGATTGGAAGCAAGGACTCTATTGAAAACTGTTTCATTTGGCAAAGTGTTTGTTTACATTTGTTCATGGACTAAGACCTTGTGTGAGGCTGAATTTAAAGATAGTGGATGAATCTGGCAGAAGAGGTTTCAAGACGGTCTAACATTCATATTTTGGCATGGGTTTTACTGGCTGCTGCTGCATCGAGTGAGAATCAGGAGCAAAAAACAGAGCCAAAAGACTGTAAAATGTATATTTGCTAAAAGGGAAGTGGTCGTAAAGTTGGGGTGAAGGAGAGTGGGCTTGCTGAAAAAGATTACAGTCGTTAAAATGAAGCAAAGTACTTTGCACAGGAAAGACGCATATCAGGAATTTCCAAGACCACACCCATCACAGGCTCCAGGGTGTGAAAAGGTAAGCTTTTTTGAAAGATTTTGCTTTGATAACTCCATGTACACTGTTTATTCAGGTTCACCTTGGGAAAAGTGTCTCAAGTTTCAGACATCTGGACACTGAGAGACCATTGCAGCCATGGTCTAATGGGGCCTGGCTATTGTTTCTGCTATTAGCAAACCATTTATATGGTGTTGAGTTTTTAGACATGTAAAATGGAAAAGTTATAGAATGATGGAAATTCTAAATTTAAAGGAAGATTTGAAAGTTAGGCAATTTGCCCCTATGAAGACAATGCCAGAATGCAAGCCAAAGATGCATAGGACATCCCAAACAGTTGGAAATACCATGAACATAAAACATCTGCTGAAAGGGGCCACATCCAGTGAGCAGTGCCAGCTCAAGTGACAGATCATCTGGCCTTCAGCTGGTAAGGCCATAGTGGTCAGGTTCTCCAAGCACCTTAGAATTTGCTTCTCATCACAACCTGTTTCTGATGCTGGGCATGGAGCCACAGGACTTACTGTTTGCTATATTGGTTTTAGGTCATGGATTTTTTCAGTGCCTTTTGATTCTCCTATTCTTCCCCTTTGGAATGAGAATGTTTATTTTGTGCCATTGTATGGTGGAAATACTTAGCTTTCTTTATTTTTATTTTTAATTTCTGCAGGGACTCATAGCTAAGAATTTGCCTTGAATCTCAGAGGAGACTTTGGACTTGGACTTTTCAGTAATCCTGGGACTGATCATAACTGATAATTCTCAGAGATGAACTAATTTTGCATAATTAGATAGACATTAGCCCTTTGTGGAACAAGACCAGAATGTTATGATTTAGATCTAAAAGGCACCTCCCAAAGTTTCCTGTGTTGAGAGGTAAGTTTTGGGAGGTATATTCATTAGTGGGTTAACACTTTCTCGTTGGCTAGAACTCCTGGTAATACATTGGTGTCCTTTCCTTTGGGCAGCTTGAACCACCAGCCAATGGTACATGTATGACTATTGTCCCATTGACAACATGCAATAGTCCCATCAGTTGATGCCAGCTGCATGATGGTACAGTCATGCATGTGCAGCCCCTTTGTGAATGTGCTCATCTATTGATGTGTTTATAGCTGACTGCTTTTTCAGAGGTGGGGCCTGATTAGATCACTGGAGGGCATGGCCTTGAAGGTTGTCTTATTCCCAGCTTCTCCCTTCTCTCTATGCTTCCCAGATGCTGTGGGTTGACTAGTTTTCCTCTGCTACACCCTTCTGCCATACTGTTTTTTGCCTCAGAGTCAGTCAACCATGGTATGAACCTACTGAACCCATGAGCCAAAATAAACATCTCTCCTTTATGTTATATGGGATGGATATTTTGTGCCAACAACAGGAAAGTGTCTGATTCAGTAGTTATACTGGTCTAAGCATTATAAAGGAATTCCATATATAGTATATAGCATAGTATAGTATTTCATTATGAAATTATATTTGAGAGATTAATTCAATATATTCTGTAAATTTTAATAAATATATAGAAAATACAACTTTTATTATGTTATCTAGGAATCAAGATGGCAAAGATACTATAATTGCAAAGTGTTAAATATATATATATATATATATATATATATGAAATATAGTTAATAGTTTTTACAAGGTATAGAATACATTGTCATCACTGCATTTGGCAACTTTCGTTCCTTGCAGAGGTATAACATTTTAACTTTGCAGAGGTATAACATTTTAAAATGCAGTGTGATTTGACATTTCACTGATTCTGGATCCTGGCAATTTAGATGAATGCAGAGCTCTGAATATTCTATGTCTTAGGTTTGAAATCACCACCTGGTTCCTCTGTTATTTTCTGAATTAAATAAGGACATTATGCCTGTTTTATCCAGATCGCATAAAGTATGAAGATAAGGAACTTAAAATGTTGAAGAAATAATTCAGTAGATACCTCAAGATGCCCCCTTTCATCTACATCACATGGGGGGACATTAACACTAATCTGTCCCCTTTTCCAGGAGCTGAATCCCAGGGAAACCTTTGAGAAATTCTAATCCCCAGTCTTGGATCCATGGTGAGATGAATGTACTATGTGTGTGCATGTGTGTATGCGTGTGTATGTCTACATGCATGTGTATGTGTTTAAAAACAAGTAATTCAGATATGTTGGTCATTCTAGTATCTTTTCTTCATTTACTCACATGTATGTGTATAAGAAAGTGTGCTATGAGAAGGTTTTTTTAAAAAAAGTGAACAAAGAAGTTATGCTTAATTATGTTAATAAGATAGTGCTAATAAATTAATGCTTGGCATGAATTATGTATGAGAATATGGATATAGTTGGTCTCAGTATACTCATCTGTACAACAAGTCCTAAGTAAAGGGTTTTGTGGTGATCACAGACAGACAGACCAATAGATATACATGCTCAAAGCTCCATCCATGAGCATATGAAGCTTTGGGAGAACATCTAGTTATAATCTGTAACAGTAACCTAATAACCAAAGTGATATCTCATTACTTTTGCCCTATTATCTTTGTTAGAAGTCTCTATCTAGCTCCGTACTCAGAAGGGATTGTACAAGGCCTTTATCAGCAGATGAGATCATCTGTGTCATTTAAACACTGCCTACCACAGATGTTCTGAATGTGTTTGTGAAGCTACATTTATTGTAGCTTGCTCATTCATCTTTGATTCATAAACACACAAATATTTAGCAAATACATTTCTAAACACATGCATATTCTTCCTCTCTTGTTGGTTTCTCTGGTAGTTATGAATATCTCAATCCAATGCCAAGATAACTCAATTATAGAGTTTGAGGAATCTTCTATAGTATTTGTATACAACTACTTGCATTTTGCAGATACAAATTTTGACATAGAAGAAAGGTAAAAAACTTCACTAAAATCATGGAACTGATTGCTAATTACTTAAAATGTTATAGCCAGTACATATTTTCTAGCTTACAATTTATTAAGAAATATAGGAAGATTTTACACAAATGTGGTTAATTTTATATGGTTACTTTTTTTTTTTAATCTCTTAAGCACTTCTTCAAGCAACTTGGACTTTGGCATTTATCTCTTAAGCAGCTGCTGTTGGAGGAGCTCTAACAAAACATAAATAAAAACCTAAGAAATATACTATGGCTTAATAAGAACTCAGTATGTTGCAAGAAAACGTGTCAGAAACTGGAAAATGGAGATCTAAGATACACAGTAGCAAAACCTTTGTCAAAAATAACTCTGTACAACCCTGAGACATAAACAATATGCATACCAATTCTGTGTCAGTCTCAGTCCCCAAATAAATGAAGTGGCAAAGCCTGTCCACTACTTATTGTGCATGTGTGTGAAAGATAAAATCCCACAAGCTTAAGTCAATTAAAAATTCAGCTTCATCCAATATTATAATTGCTGATACTTTTAGATATGTGTAAAAATAATTACTTTTTGTTATTAATTTTGGTATTCATGAAGGATTGTCTTCCTACTAATTTCCTTATTTTTATGATTTGGCCCAAATTAGTTTAAATATACTACATGAGATTAAGGTTAAATAATACTTGAGCTATGCTTTCTGTTAATGACTGCACTACAATGTTTAAATTATCTCTCTAATACATAATAGTAATATTTTATACTAATGTTAGTATTTAACTAATACTTTATACCAATATGTTACACAGTATAGAAGAGATATGCTCTTTATTCTCATTTTAAAGATAAAAAAACTAGATGCAAAGGAACATACCTAAAAGTTACAACTGGTTCCTGGAAATTGTTGTTATGTAAGAACATAGAAAAATTCATGTGATTGATAGTGATTGAATCCATGAATATGGATGATATTTCACCGACAAATATGCTGTATGGAAAGAAAAAAATAAACAAAGATTTATCAAGGACAAAAGGTCCTCTTGGTGAGCTCGAGAAATAGATGTAACTCTAAAGAGGGGTCAGGTCTGCTGTGTCTGAGAGTGAGCAGAGAGTCAACATTTAGGGAAACTAACACAGCTTTGCTTTGTCAACTTAAGGATACTGAACATTTCAAGGAGAGGACAATTAGAATGTGAAATAATGCAGAGAAGACAAAATGAGAACCAAACAGCATTTGCTCATTAGAATTATTGGTGAAAATGTGAAAATGACAAGAGCAGCACGCCATGAGTGGAGATGAGACCAGAAAGATCACGGGCAGAGCAAGGTGTTTAAGATTGGCTATTGAAGGCGAAGAGTAAGTTTGTAGTTTGAGTGGACTCTTGAGTTGAACTTTATAAATTTAGGTTACAGATCATGAAAGAATCCAGAGAAAAGAAAAGTCTATGGTGAAGAAAGAGCAAGGCAGCTGCTAATAAAACACAAAACACATTGCAGATTGGACAACCCAGCTGAGTGGGAGGCCAAACACTTCGCAGATCAAAGCACTAAAATTTGTGTACACAGTGATATACAATGTTTGGATCTGAAGTTTACCCTAAAGAAATAATTATGAACATATCCAAGATATAGCTATAAATGTATTTGTGATAGAATTTGTAATAGTGAAAATTTGGCAACAAGAGCCTATTAAGATTTGTTTAGTAAATTACGGTGGATGGGCCAGGGATTTAGCTCAGCAGCGTAAGTACCTGGCAAGATTGAGGTTGAGTTGTATCCCCAGTATGAAAAAATAAATACATAAATAAAAATAAAAGAGAATAATGTCACATAGCCATTCAAAATTATTTGTAGAAGAGTAATAAGCAGCTTAGAAATATATTTGAATTTAATTAAAATTGAAAAGAACATACAATTCCATTTTCTAAAGAAATTCAAGCATGTACTATGTGCACGCACAACCACATGAAGCATTAATCCCCTTTACACGATGGGACTGTGTTCCTTAATTTGCACTGCTGTAACAAAGGAATGTCTACCAGGTGGCTTACGAACACTAAGTTACTTGTTTCTTGCATTTCTGGATTCAGGGAATTGAAGATAAAGACATCAGTAGATTTTGTAATGGTCACTTCGTGTTTTCTGTCTCAATCCCCTCTGCAAAATCCCACACGTTGGGAGAGACAAGGGATCTTCTCTGGATACTTTTGTAAGCTCATCAATCTCATTCAGGGGCTCCCTGTTCTCATGCTCAAACTCCCAAAGCTGTCACCAGCTGCAGTGTCTTCTGCTTGTAGTTAAAGTTTCAACAGATGAATTTTGGAGGTACAAAATTTTTCTGTAGCAAAATGTTAGTTATTTTTTGGGTTTGCTCTTGTCTTTATACCTATTTCTATTGTAAGCATACATAAGTGCTAACATTGAAACATCTTATTTTTAAAGGATTTATTGAAAGATTTTAACAATTTAAGATATGATTCATGACATAGTAAAGCACATGCTAAACCGTTGTTCTAAAGAATATTCATCTACATTTTCCAACAAGTATATATGGGGAGAATGCTCACATAGTTTTGAAAATTTGTTTCTAGCTTTTACAGGTGCAATTGATAGTAATAATTAGAACATCCAGTATGCTGACTTTCATTATGACACTTCTTTCCAGTTATTTTTGACAAATGAAACTATTTTGCACAAAGTACTATTTAATATTCTTTAAACTAATACTTCTTGTGTTACTTTGGAAATGATGTATTAACATAACATTCCTGAAGCCCATGGACCTTCGCCATCATTGCGTGCCTTACTGTCATGAAAACGATCAGCAGGAGCAAGATGAAATATTATGGGCTGATGAAAATAGTCAAATTTACAAATCTATTTTTACAGGACAGTGGTCATTGTATTGCTTAGTTTTTCTCATCTTCAGCAATATCAGTTTTTTTTTTTTTGTCTTTTTCATTTTTATCGGTACCAGGGATCGAACCCACTACTGCCTGCTTGCAAGGCAGGCGCTTATGCTGCTGAGCTAAATCCCCAGCCCCAGCAATATCATTTTTTTTAGGTGACAGAACTTTTCCAGAAGTTCAGAACTGTGCCTTTGAAGCATTTTAAACCAATGAAATGATGTGACTGAACAGTGCTTAAAAAATTGTATCTAAGAGATAGACCAACCCGTGTTATAGAAAATAAAGAGCCATAAAACATGCTGGCATAGAGTGTTAGCATGTGAGTTTTTTCTTTAACTCAGAGTTTTTTTTTTTTTTTTTTTTTTGCAATGAAAGTGAAAGTTTAACTGTATATGTATATTTTAAAGTTTTTAAGATGCATTATCTTGAAAAGGAGTGTTTACCTTTTTCCTATTGATTCAATTGTAATGTCAATTTATTCTAACTTATTTATTGTTGAAATGAACACTTACTAATATTTTTTTCCACAGTAAGGGAAGCAGTAAGATATGACAAGCAGTTTTCAGGAAAATCCAATGGGCAGAGACGTCTATAGACTAATTGTAGATGTTTAAATCAGTTTGTTTAATTGATACAAAACTGGTAAACATTCACTGGGAAACAGCAAATTTAATTATCCTGATCCCAATAAATTTTCACTTCAATGAGAGGAATTGTTCACATTCTTAATTGTTCTCTATAATTTTCAGAGTATGGTTAAATATAATGGACAAACCCTAGAGTCCCATACCCAGAAACCTAGTATCATGGCACTGTCCTAAGGCTGGGAAACTAAATCTAAGGCACTTCAACATATCTTAGGCAACTAGTTTTATACTTTAATCCCTTTCTCTTTTCTCAAAGAGCTATTAAGTTTCTAATGTTTCTGGCATTAATGCATAATAATGTTTTTGACTACGCACAACCCTTTTATATCTTCTTAAAGTGGCAAGTTTAACATTCAGTAATATGGTCACAAAATATAGCCTTTTTATCCGTACACAGATAAGTAAAATACATGCTTCAGGTGGGAGTAGTAATTAACAGTTTTGGTGTTTCAGGAATTAGTCTTACTTAGAAATTAAGCTATCCAATGATTGCTCTTTAATTAACTTCAATATCAGTAAAATGTTTCAAGTAACCTGAAAATATTTTAGAAATTACCTTCAAGTTGACATATCCCAAAATACAATTACAGTTAAAATCTAAAGTGTCAAAATAATGAAAATAATGACTCAGTTTA